GCCAACATTGAAATGGAAAACATGAAAACAACATTAAATTGTGCACACATTTCTATAACAAAATATTTAATTGAGAGGTATTTTCAATTTATAAATTAATAACCCGTTTCGTTGACGGCTTGTCTAATTTGGCTTGTGCAATGAAAACATTATCTGGATCAACATTAATCATTTCCAAGCCAATTGACAATGTAGTTGGCTATCTATGTCGTTCACTCTGTTTATATGTGTGAAAATGTTTATAAATTGATACATATTAATCCGCCAGACGTACACAAATTCTGCACAAAATGAGACACACCTTTGTATTAATATTGTGTATTTTCAAAACCAAATGTGCCCATGTAAATTATATCCCATCGTATTTTCATGTTTTCTGATATGTCATCTTTTAATACCACTGTCTATCTCTGATCGATTGCAATTACATTTTCAAAATTGAAATCGATTGCCAATTTATGTCGTTTGGCACACAGGTACGCCATCATTCAATACATGGAGCTCTTGAGAAAAGTCATTTGAATTTTGTCATTTCGATATTCAATCATTGAAACTGAACTAAAGAAGGGTGTGCTTTTGAATAAAACTGTGTATTCAAGCAATCGACCGACACAATTTTCTGTATAATTATCCAATTTGCTATAGAAAATAACTTTAGAAAGAAAATGAAAAACTTTATTCTGTTGAAAAGTTTTATAATATGAAAATGGAAAAAAAGCTAAAAAAAGACAGTCGATTGCAATGAAAAATTGGCAGAATAAATAATACTGCACGGAAGTGAGTGAACATAATGGGGTTAAATACAAAGCAAATGAATGAAATTGCAAACAAATGATCGATCGACCAGTATTGACAATGTGATGAGTTGTACGGAGTTCATTACGCTATCCTATTTACAAGCGCTAAATACGGCATGAATAAAGTATTTTTCTGCATTTGATTCACCAAAAGGAATGGAATACGATTATTTTGCGATCAAGTGTCTTGTAAGCTATTTTGCCAATTTAAGTCCGTTGTTAAATAAAACAGACATTAAATAGTACATTGCGAGCTACATGATTTTCAAGTACTCTTCTGCTGTTGCTTCATTGAAATGAAATGTGCGTGTACACAAGTGCTCGATTATCGTTCATTTCAACGGTACATAAAATATCGGGCTGCAAACTATACAACTTTTCTGTGGCTCTCTTTACGTGAGTGTGTTGATATCGACTTGACATAAAATTGACTGAAAACTAAAATATCAATCTTGTTGGGTCGTGTGTGCCACACTTTTTATTTGTTCTATGTTCGGCGATAGAATGAGAGACGAAATGGCGTTGAGCACGGCATGGTTTTTTTTCATCTACTTATTCTTCTTCTTCTTCGTCAGTCATTGCTACATGTGAAAATGCAAATATTTACAAAACGTTAAGTCAATAAAACAAAACAACATTCTTACGAATGAGAACAGGGAACTGATGGCGCATACACATCCAAAGCAATCGAATAGCTTTATAATGTCGATCGAATGTTTTCTGCATATACATATTTTATTTGCGCTTGTACCTAGCTCAACGTTGAATATTTCACCGCCGTATTGCCATCTCTTCGGCCCAGTACAACTTGACGCTTTTGCAAATGAAATTGGTAACTCTGTGTGTGTTTTGCATTTGTATGTACATCGTACATTGTAGAGGTTCATTCAGTTCATGGGGATACAATTACACATTGGCTTCATTGGATTTGGTGTAGAACACATTTTCATAGCCATGTAAGAGATGCAGAAAATCAAGCAGCATCCACATCACAAGCACATTCACAAATATACACACAAACACATTCACTGTATATACGTGCGCTTCGAGTTCCGAATTGAATAATATAAAATACATTTTGGTTATTGTTAAATTGCTGTTGTTGCTATAAATTGCTAGAGAAATTGTTTGTGTGTGCAAGCATAAGAGAGACGACGACTGACATTACGTTTTTGTTCGGACGATTCAAGAGCTTGACTCATGATAAAATCCCATCCAAAACACACTACAATTGTTTGGCGTAACAGTTTAGTTACTTATTCAATGTGTGAGCATTGTGCATTTTGTCTTTCTCTTTCTCTCTTGGGCCCCGCCAATGTCGGCTCATGCATTGTTTATGTCTGGATGTGCATGCCATGTACGAAAGCGCCGTGCAACTAAATTCGACATCGAATGCATGAGCAAGAGCAAGAGAGAGAGAGAGAGAGAGAGAGAGAGAGTGAGAGAAAGAGAGAGAGAGAGAAAGAGAAGAGAAGAAGAAGAAAAAAGAATCAAAATCGTACGTACAATTTGCTCTCGTTCACAATGGACTTTATGTGTTCATTTCAGTTCATTTAACTTGTTTCATGTCAAGATTAAAGCATGATTAGGAGGACATTTTACTCTTCATCCAAAACTAGCTAAATAACAACAATATAATACACACAAATATTACGACTACATAAAATGACCGTTAACATATAGAAGGGAATAGTATTGAATGAGAGAGCAAATGAGCGAAAGAGAAAGAGAAATAAACGTGTGTTTTATCACCGCCGATCGAATTGGCAAAGCGCACAAAAACACACAACGCAACACACAATAGAACCGATGCGATTTCCTGCAAATACCATGAGCTTAGATTAGTATGTGGATACCAATTTAAGTGTAGACGGTTTCGCTCTCTCACTCCTTCTGCATAACACACTCACAAAAAAGTTACACATTTTTTTTTCTCTCTGCCCATTTCAATGCAATAATTGCAAACAATGTGTGTACTTTGAGCTCTATTATTTCGTTATTCTATTTTTCCATTCGGAAGCTTTACCTGAGTTTATGTGGTATTCCTGTTTGAAAGCCTTTGCACAAACACACATAAACATACACGAAGCAGGAAAAAAGCGCACTGTACGATTGTAATCAGGAAAATCGTACAATAATTTATTTACGTTTGCATTTCGCGCATTTTACGGCCTCGAACTTCTCTCCATTTATTTGTTGTTCGTTTTTCATACCCTGTTCCCTTAGCATGCTTCCTCTCTCCCTCTCTCTCTATGTTTGTGTTGCTTTGTACATTTGTTTCCAATGAATTTTCCGCTGTTTCCATTTTTCTAACCAACTCGGTCGAGATGGTGGATGTATGGAAAAAGAGAAGATAAATGTAACCTGTGTACACTAAAAATTAGTGATTATAGAGCGAGAAAAAACGATTACGACACCGTCGGTCACGCTATCATCACTTATCATGCTATACATGTGCATGTTTTTTCTACCGAATTTCTTCCGTGCCAAACAGCGTTCAGCACATTTATTTGGTTTGGCTTCTAACAATTCAAAATCGACAACTTTTTACCGCTAGTTATTATTTGTATACATTGTCGTCGTCGTCGTCGTCGTTTCTTTTGTGTGTGTCATATTTTCTGCTAGATGTTCCATTCATGCTACAAAACCATTCCATTTATGCCCACAAAATGTAGCAGCAAAAACTTTGAGCAATTTTTTTTTCTCGTATTTGTGTGTCTTTGCCTTTTTCCGTCCCGTATGTCCGTTTTGTTTATGGCTGTTTATTCATTCGGTCATTCTGTCACAATGATGAACACTATTTGCGTTACGATAATAAATAATTGTAATAACAATGAAAAATTGAAGTGAACATGTACCATAACATGTTCGAACAATAATATAATCGATTGATGAGTTTCACCATTCCGATGAATGATTTCGAATTCAGGCGTCATTCTACATTAACGTTCATTTTATCCAATCAACAAGGGACACATAAAAGTGCGTCACATGTGCATGACATCAAAAACTTACATGGTTTTAATTAAATGGACATCGAACCATCCGTTTATCTGTATGTTTTACTCTCTGTGCTCCTCTGTTTCTTCGCATTCTCCATCAGCCACTCTCTTTTCAGAGGTGCAGACACTGGACTCAATCTATGTTCGATTTTAATATTCTTCGTTGTTGAAATTAATTTTGCTAATTCTGTAACACACGAACGGCAAAAATATTTCGAGTAATTCAGTTAATGTTCAAACTTGAATGACCAATGTTAAATTAAATTCTAATTTCGATTCATATTTGAAATATTTAAAGACTTTGATCGAAACAATGGATATTCCATATCAAGCAGTTCAAAGCGAAAATCACTTTCAATTTTCAAAAGAATAATTGAAAAAGAAGGTCTTTTTTAAATAGAGAATTAGATGAAAGCGGGACATTTCAATCAGAAGGAAATTTATAATTTTGTCAACGTTGGCACAATATATCATTTCAGTCGTAAATCAATTGCCAGAAGTCAAACGATTGATATGAAAATGTTTAAATTTTTTTTCGCTTGTTCCAAATTGATGAAAATAAAAGCATAAAAATATCCGACTTTTTTTCTCTATCTCTATCTCTCTCCATCTCCAATTTATTTTTGTCATTTAGTCAAAGTCATAATACTTGTTGTTGAGTAAAGCCATGAGTGCAGAGAAAACAATTTTTAAATTTATTACACATTTGGGCCCGTTCTCTGTCATCCACGTTTTTTTATCAGCAAATTATTATCGGACTCATTAATCTCATATTTGTATTGTGCATATAGAAAGAGAGAATGTGTCACCAGGGGCTTTTTACTCGCAATCAGTCAAGTAATATATAAAATCCACGGTAATTTTATAAATATTTAACTATTTTTCCAATCAAATGGATTAATTAACAAGCAAAGGATGAATCGACATAGATTCAACATTTATTCATTTTTTTTTTCAATGTGTACACTCAAATAAGTGCTAATAAAGCGATTTATTTAGTCGATGAAAAAGCCCCTGTCTCCCTTTTTCACCGTCCGATAGCAATCGAGTGTGGCGAGTGGCGAAGAAGAAGTAGAAGAGAGAAAATATCGTCGGCATATTTATTTTGGTGTTAACAAATTTTTCATGTAATTCAATGCGTTTGTTCGATTCTTTTTTCATTAATACATTTTTGTCAATTTGTTTTTATCTGTCATTGCAGCGAGTTGTAATAATGCACTGGGTATGGAATCGGGTGCGATAGCTGATTTCCAGATAACCGCCAGTAGTGCACATGACCCAGGAAATGTTGGACCACAGCATGCCAGGTAAGCTTTGCATATATGCACATATATTTACCACACTTTAGTCATATCACCTCGCGAATTACAAACAGGATGAATACAGCAACAAACAACAAGAGCAAAAAAAAAATACCATTCCCCTTCAAATAAAATACAACACATAAATATTATATTTAACATGATGTTTTGCGATAAACCATCTCTCATTCTCCGGCATTTTTTTCATTCCGTAACCATTCCATCGTTTCATTTATCATGCATTTCCATCATATTTTTTTTTATTCTTCACCGATTCATATAGACTGAATGGAAATGTTTTTCGTTACCATGTTGATATTTCTTTTTATGTTGTATTCTGTCGTTGTCGCTATTTTTCATTTTTACATCGAAGCAATAAATAAATGAAATGTGTGTACCCCAAACGCATATTATTATTTTTGCATTTATTTTCATGCTTGATTTTTTTTTTTTCAATGTGCCGTTGATATTACACAGGCGCTCATAATAATCTTTCACAATCCTCTCGGTGTCCATTCTACAAATATATGAATATATCAGATTGGAATGTTTGTCATTTATTTTTCTGTTGCGTTGACAATCTTTTGCATTCATTCTTTTCCACCCCGGCTTTTGTTTTTCTTTCGTTTTGAATCACTGTACGTAATTTCATAATAAAATATTCAAGCCAGAGCAAATCTCTTTTTTGTTGTTGTGCGCAAACATTTTTGTCATTTATCAAATGCTTTGATGAAATTTTTCACCTTCATTGTAATTTATAATTAAATAACAGTATTGATGGAAAATGTTATCAATTCCCTTATCTAAATATGAGCAGAGATTGTTCCTTCCTCGAAATCAAACTCTTTTGCTGTTGTTTTATCCCATCTATCTTTCAATTTCTTTCAAAAAAGTAAATAAACGCATAAACAACCAATTTTCCATTAAATCGTCTTTTCGCTGTTTCAAATGTATGCAAAAAATGTGCTGCAAATTCAATGCATAGCATTCAGAGCGCGCCGAACAACAAGACTTTGCTTACTTCAAAATATATATATATATCGAGCTTGTTAAATTTTAATATTGGGCCAAAGTGTACCGAAAAAAACTGCATCGCTATGCGAAAACGAAAAATACTTTCTTCCCATAACGTGACGTTGCAGAAATATTCCATGTATTTTCATCAACAAATATTTGATTTTGATTACAAAGGTGCCAAAACATGCACAGTGCGTCCCATTTGTGCACAAACTTAAATTTTTGGGATGTAAAAATGATGTTTCTTTATGAATTTTCAACGATACGGCTGCAGTAATAACAGCATCAATTTCAATGAACAAAACACGAACCAACATGTATTCACGAGTAATTCTATATTTATTGATTGAACGTATACTACGGGTAGTTTGATCTTCTTCAAAAGATAGAGAGAATGAACAAAAACTTAACCATATAGTTTTACTCTTTATTAAAGAAGAAAAAGACACCCGTGTTCGGTTTTTTCTTTGTTTTACACGAGACTGAAATCTTCTTCGCTGCAAAATAGTTCTCGTATCGTTGCACATTATATAACGCTTGGAATTCACATTAATTTACATAAAAACGATAGCGAACAAAACATAAAGCATTGATTGGAGCAAATGCCTTGTATTTTTTTTGCTCGAAAAAAAAATAGAGCAAAGCGCTCGCGAAGCAGCTGAGCCGGGCATTATATTGAAACCATTTTTTTTATTTGGCTCTTCTCATTTTTCGGATACGTCAAAAATGAAATAAAATTGCTTTCAGCAATGTGTATAGTCTTCAGACAGGTTGTTTGTTCTATTGAGAACGGTGAATTTACTCTCAGGTAAAATGAAACATGGGCACACGTGAGATAGATCTGTTGAGACGGGGACGTAAGAAGGACAAAACGAAACAGAGAGAAAGAGAGGGAGTGGAAATGCTTACGCGAACATTGTGCATTAATGAAAAACGAAAATCGTCTAACTTAAATAATGAATTTGATATTCTTTGAAAATTGAGCTTTATCCATTTGGATGCTTTTGTTTAGCGCACTTGATGCGTGCACATCTGTTTATGAACATTATCTTGGTGAATTTTCGCTCGTTCATCCTCTCGTTCTCGCTTTATCTCGTTCTCTGCCTTTAACTTTCCAAAAACGTCTTTTAAAACATTTCACTTTTGTACACTGTCAGCAGTATTATTTCAGTGTACTAGCACAGCAATCTATGAATTTCCTTCTTGTATTTATTCATCGGGACGTTGAAAATTCAGTGTGTTTCATTGTTTGTGCCGTCGAAATTTACACAAATCCAGCGTCATCATCGTGCCGAACAAATCTTTGTGCAAAAACCATTTATCTATATATTTTACCATTTTAAGCGTATATTTTAATACAATGCTCTGGCATTGGATAAATAGAAGGAAAGAGAGAAATATGTGTCAGTCATCTTTACTTATGAAATGAGATGCAAACATCAAATAGATTATAAAGCGATTGCAGGTGAACACACTCAGTTTCCGATAGCACATAAAGTACACTCACTCGCGATCAAAATGCTCGTTGTTTTCTTACTCTGTGTGTTTCTTTTGTTCGTCCCTGAAATCTGAGGCGATTGCTATTTTTATGTCGTTTTAATTAAAATAGCCCAAGAAATGGCTTTATCAATACATTTTCGGTGAGACGATGTAATAGAAAATTGTAATTTGAAAGTACCATGCCAGCCAACAAATAAATATGTATAATTGTATATACCCATTCAATATTGCAAATAAACGAATTAAACGATGCGCATCGTAATTCTATTATCTTTTTGGTTGCTGACAATATGAGAAAATCCCTTACATCATTCCATTAGAACACCTCGGAACGAACGAACAAATGAAGAAAGTTCGAAATTTGAATAAACAAGCATAATAGCGTATTATCGCATTAAATTCATTCGAAGAATGTACCTTTATCCAAAACCTGAAAGATATTCGGTTCAAATTCAATGCCCGTACAATACACACAATTATTTAATGGCATAATCGAATAGACAATTGAATTTTCGACAAAGATTTTACGTTGGAAAATTAACAATTGAATTTAGCTGCAATATTTGCTGCCTTCAGTTTCATTTGCATCGTGAAATTCTTAAACTGTCATCAACAATCAAAAACCATTGTCTTCGCAATTTCAAGCCGATTGTCTTTCAATAAAATGAATTTCTCAAACTCATTCTCGTTTCACTTTCGATTCATTAGTATCGTTTTGGCTTATGTATTCCATTAACGGAAAACTATAAAAACACAATATTGCTGATCCAATGTCGATTTGTTTTCATTTAAATGAAATAAGGATTCGATTTGGGGGATTGATTGTCTGGTTGTGATTTTAGAGAAAACTAGCACGTATTCATCGTTGTCGTTGGCGTTCTCGACAACAGCAGCAGATGAAATATTATACCTATCATGGGACGGTGTGTGTGTGTGTGTGTGTGTGCGGACGAAAACCCGTCTCAAGGTAAAATTCAATAGACATGCAATGATGACAGGCAAAAATATCAGTTTTTGGTAGTCAGTGTGCGTTCCAATGAATCACATTCAATCAAATCAAAGTCTATTAAGTTCGAACACGCACGCACACTCACTTCAAATTTAGCAATAGTGAAACGTTTTCAAATCATCCGTCTATATAAATCAAAATTCATCAGCCCAAATGCTTTTGTTTAAAGTATCTTTAAGAATTGCAAACTCGTCACCAACTTTGCTCGAATATGAATGGGCAACTTTATTCTCCATGATTGTCTTGGTAAAATCTTTTTTGCGTACAACTTCTTCGATGACAATGTTGTTAAAAGAGTAAATTGTTAGTCTTTCTCTCAAAGATATTGAAAACCTATTCATAAGATGCCATTATCAAACCGTCTCTTACCTACCGTCGGGCGAAAATCACCACGTTTATGCCTTATGCAGCCTCAAAGAATCCTTTCATTAAAATCATCTAGCGCTAATTAGCTTTGGCATATACACACGCCACACCGTTTTCTACATACATATTTAGTAAAAATCACAGTGAAAATTAAACGCCAGTGATGAAAATGATCGTTTTGCGTGTTTTCGGTTCAAATGCATGAGCTGGCAACAATGTGGTTTTTCTCTTCACGCTGCAGACATATTTCATGCCGAAGAAATAAACGAACAAAAGACTTCAAGGGAACGATAAACAGAATAAAAAGAAGTGAGCGTGGGTGTGTTTGAGCAAAGCTCTTTGAGCATTCAATTGCTTTTCATATTCGCAAAGTAGATATTTAGTGTGCGTGGCGGTTTCAATAGACGTACTCATACACTCATATATTACAAAATGTCTACCTCATTTATTTACATGTAATTAGATTATGTGCGCAATAATTTCGATTCGACAGGTACTTGGAAGTTTGTTTGCACAACGTACGATTACAAATTGCTAATTACGCTCGATGCTCTGTTATGCTGCATAAACATTACGCAACAACATGCTTATTAGTGAGGCTCAATAGCAACGACAACGGCTGCGTCGACGACAATGTGGCATATGTACTACAATAAACTAAGCTCATTCTAAGTGGATTGATAGGCAACCGTGTGTGAATCAATGTTCTTTATACACAACACACACTTTCTCTCATAAAAAACTGAATCTTCTTGCGAATATGTCACATACGTCTATAAATATGTAATCATTTCGAAAGAGCACCGAAAATGAAGCTTTTGTCGAATCTTCCAATAGACACACAGCAACAAAATCATCGTGAGCCAGCACGCTTACGGCAATATCATATGAATTGTTGCCAACAATCCCAGCTCATTTAGAATATTTTCGGTGATGCCCTATTACAATGAGTTTTATTTCAAAATAAATATTTACATAGCATGTAAAATGATATTGCATATCAAGCACTCGCTCCAACTCTTCATTTCTCTGATTATTTTTTTCCATTGGGCCCGGTAAACGTGATATTCAAAATGAATGAAAAAATTGATTTCCATTTTACTGAAAAGGTTTT